GGAAAGGGAAAATTGGGTATCTCGCGTTTCCTGTTATTGGAGGGAAATTACCACCAATCACGTCTCCGCCTACGGTCAAGAGGCAATGTGATTGGCCAGTATTTACGTAGTGTTACTTAGGTTCTCGCGCTTCCTGTTATTGGAGGAAAGTTACCACTTAATCACGTCGCCGTTTCCGGTCAAGAAGCAATGTGATTGGTAGGTAATTTTACTGTGGAGAGGGCAGGGGCGCATATGCTTTCCGTTATTGGAGGAACATTTTAGCCAATCACATCGCTTACCACACTACAATTTCTGCTCCAGTATTGCTGTTTGGATAACAAATAAAAGACTTGTTGGTCGTTACTATGTGTAAACTCAAATATAGACATCTTGTTTTTTTTTGCGCTCTTGTATTAGATGTAGCGTCTCCGGAGGACGCCATGCATAAAAAGTACTTGGTGTGGCCTTACAGTTACTTTTGTGGATATATTTCATTATTTCATTATTCAATTTGAACCCGCTTTGAGGATAAACCCTCAAACCCTCAAAAACCCTAGTTCTTTTAGATCTTTTGTTATAATTATAATTTATATGTCATGTAGTTTTGTTGGGGTTATCCCCCAAGGGATCTTTGAAAACGGCGACATAGGCGACATGTACTTCCCGGTTAAATAAACAAACAAACAAACACCCGAACTTTTTTGTGACGTTAATGCCCGAACGGGATCCAAATGGACCCCATTTGGTTTCTTTCAAATTTATATTCCTTTTTGCATTCTTTCAGTGATCTTTGCACATATATTGGTTAAACATAGTAAGAGGTATATTTTGGCATAGATTAAATGTTTAAAAATTCCAGCTCATTATCATAATTTATGCAAAAATAGGATGAGGCCTGCAGGCATGAACATGGGGTTGACCTTTGACTTCATATGATTGTCAAATTGTCATACCTCTGAAAACCTGATGAACTCATTCCTGAGGTTGAGGTTACTTAGCAAACTACATAATATTAAAGCAATAATGCTTACTTGAAGACATATTGAGGACATCCGTGTGCAAATACATGGCTGGGGGTCCAAACGGACCCCAGACGGTCTTACACAAAACTTCCGTTGTTATTTTTACAAATTTGTGCCGACCTCCAAAAAAATGTAGGAGTACTTGTAGAAGAGGTTTATCAACAAAGTAACAGGAGGAATTTTTTTTCGAATGAAAAAAGTTCAAATAGCACATAAAATATACGCCTTTGGTCCAAATGGCCCCGTTCGGGTGTTTGAGGGTTAATTCATACTTAACAACCCCTGAAAACAAACTAATAGCTCTCAAGTCAAGTGCATCTCTAAACTACCCGACTGGGCATGGGTTGGAAATGTTACTGTAGGTTTACCTGGACCACCCCGATGATGAGCAGAATATGAGTGATGAGATTCACGATATAGACGATGAGCAGGACGATGTTGGTCGGTGCTAAAAAAAAAACAAGAAATAACAATCTAATGTCAGCAATGGAATAAACAAATCAGGCACACAAGGACAGGTGTGATTGGTTTGCTGCAGTTCATAGGTTTTTCGAAAGGTGGCTACGTTACATTTAAGAATGTTACCTTCATCTGCAAGAACTTTCTTGTTGATATATTCATAAATCTTAATCAAATATTTTTTGATAAGATGAAATTCTACCTGCTGATGTTTAAATTATATTTTCGAAAGGCAAGTATTCGGTTTTCAGTGAAATAAAGTTAACTCTCTATACCTGGTTTATTTCTCACATAATGCTGTTACATATTTGTAGTACATATAATAATGTAGTACATGATATTTCGGCAGCCTATCTACCCATTTTGACATCTCAAAATACGTTCAGAAGATCTTGTAATATGACATTTATTGCCCTAGTTTTCAGTTGTCACTGCATGTCAACTCCAAGGTAACGGATTATGCTAATGACACATTTTCAAAACGGGGCCAAGCCAGGCTATTTGCCTACACTAAAAAAAAAACAATCCATATCAAGGGTAAATTACACAAATAGTACTCATGGATAAAGTTTTCAACTTTGTTTCGTTAACGCAAACTGCCAGGCCAGGCCCCTGACCTAGTACATGTCATAAATTAATATGACTGGAACTACATTATTTTTGATTGAGAAAAGCTCGACTCACTGGGAGTTTTACCTTATCCATTAGGTAAAGCAGGGATTAGAAAGACTGCTCAAAAACACTCGCTACCCCATTAAATACACATTGCTCAAGTCACTTACACACGGCTCCGAATAGGGAGGTCGCGTACACGCTATAGGAGGTATAGCCGAGTCCAATCAGGGTGAGAACCTGTAAAAAAAGTTATGCCACCATGTCAACGTCAGCGAAACACCGATACCATACCCCGGTAATTATCAACTCATTCTAAATATGCATACAGATGCAACTTCAGCCACCATCACATCGGTTAAACAACCAACTGCCTTGCTATTATTGGTTGCATTTCTATTTACAGTTAGGATCAATCTTTGTATTCAAGGAGTTTTAAAATTCTTCAGAAAATAAATTGTTTTGCTTGAATCCAGTTTATTTCGTTAAATTTCAATGATGATTGTGTTTTTCTTGGGATAGGGCTTCTAATGACCACAAACTTTTTGTGTACCTTTTTGATATCCAAACAAAAGATTTCGGTAGATTATAGACCCTACCGTTATCTAGAAATGTTATCCTTAGACACGCAGACAACTGTCTTTTATTCTGGACTATCTGACTAGAGACACGTGTTGTGTTTTTATGTTTGACTTACGATCCAGGTGACTGCCACCACGATGGAGCCGGTCTTGACGTCACAACAACCGCAGCAGCTCCGCTGTAGGATGGCCATCCTTGACTTGCGTCTCCTGGCGATTGTAAAACAAACTGCAGGACCCACGTGGTGGTACGAAATACTAAAAACTACGGTAAACATTCTGGCATTAATAAACTTTGCGAATGGGGGTCAGGACGAAAAAAAACAGCCATATATAAAAATGTAACGATCATCCCACATACAACCTCTGCTTGGAGAGTAGCGAATTACTACTAGAGGAATACTAGAGTAAAACAACCCAAGGAAATAAAAGAAATCGGAGTCTTCACGTATGCAGAAACTACACTACGGCATCCAGCGGAACGCATGAGAACTGCATGAGATCACAGAAAATTCGTCAAAACATTGATGTTATTCATGATCTTTGTACACTCCGTTCCAAGCGTGCGCTAAGAAGCTGTATGTATGGATCGCGGGCGTATAATAATGTCACCTCAAGTTGTGGAAAATGTTAACTTTCCAAAATGCAAAGCCCTGGATCTTGTTTTTGTTTTGTGCCTTGTTGTGTCACGCTCGTTCCCAGCGCCCGTGGAGAAGCCATAGGTTATAGATCGTGGCTTAGCCCAGGCTATGGAAAATAAACTTTCTTTAATGCAAATCTGTCGTTTTTGTTTTCTTTGCGCTCTCTAAAGGGTTATGATAACCTACTCTACTCTGGCGGTATTGTCGTGCGCGCTCACTATACTAGTACGTAACGTTACACGGCGGCGATCCAGTGGCGGCGATCTGAATACACTGCATTATTTCTACTATCGGGACCTAAAACAAGACGCAAGATTCCTATTTTGGGGTATAAAATGCTGTCACAATGGTAATATACCATATGAAACGGACTTTTACAAAGTATCTCATTTGGTGACGCTATGAGGGTGCACCGTTACCCCTCTACATTTGCGCAGAGTGGAGTTAGTCGCGGAAGGAACTTAGCCACGCAGGAAGTTTTGACATTCTCCACGAAAAATAGCAGCAATCCCGTACCCAGGTCTGTTTGCGAAGGTCGTTCCCTGATTCGTCAGAGCAATCTAACCCCGCCCCGTCTACTCTCATTCCCAGGATATGCAGTGTAACTCAAGTAGCCCTCATGCGATCTATCTATGTATTGCATGTAACACTCTGCGATCTAGCTACAATGGGTGGGGTAAGCTGACGATCTTATTTTTGTGGGTGTGTGGGAAGATTTACCGTAAGATAAGAAAAACATTTGATTATATGGTAGCCAACCTTGGTTGGCAGGTGTTTGGGGGAAGGTTCTGTATGTGTGACAGTGGCTTTACGGCCTTTACAAGTTGAATCTTGGTTTCCTGTCTAACATTGGTAAGGTCACACCGACTTGATGACTGGATGACGTCCTCCGCGGCTCTTGCCAGGCTCTGGGCCTGGGTACTCCATGATAGTTAGCGATACGGAGCCGGCCCGGGGGGAATAGTAACTCTGGACAATAGATTGCGCCTAGATTACCGAAGATCTACATTTCTATTTTTGGCCAGATTTTTATTCGCCCGCGTGCACTAGTTTGGAGGTCTTCAGAGTATTTCATCCATAAACTTAAGTCAGTGTGGCCTAACGGGCATTCTGGCACGTACACAGTACTGTTTTTGGTCATACAACACTTTGACATTTTGTTACACAGGTGTTCAAGGTCGGGCCCGTGGAACTCGCATTGTAGTATATTGTTGACACATTATGGCTTACATTAAGACGCAGTTGTAATGTCTAAGGACGCACAATAATGACTTGTTTGTCTGACTGCCATTCCTTCGTGAAGGCTTGTCAGTGTGAGATTGGCTGAAGGTTTAGCTCTTAAATGTGCACGAGTGTGTCTGTGTGTGTGTTTTTGAGTGTATTGTACATGTGTGTGCGTGTGTTATTTGTGTATGTCACTCTGTGTTGACAGTGCAAGGACACCCCCTAGTAGAATACGACAGTCCAGTGACCTACAGAGGTCACCTGGGAGAACCGGTTTAAACTGGATGAGTCTACCACATGTTCAGTGGAATATACACAGCACCACAAACACTACTCGTCTCTCTCTTCATTCCCTATAAAACCCTAGGGTGGGGGACAGGGCAAGGAATGGCTCGTTACACTGTGCTTGTGTATTTGTGCGTATCCTGTTCGTATTAGATATGTTTTGTGTGTGTGTTTGAGTGTGTGTGAGTTTTGGGTGTGTGTGTGTGTGTGTGTGTGTGTGTGTGTGCGCGTGCGTGCGTGCGTGCGTGCGTGTGTGTGCGTGCGTGCGTGTGTGTGTGTGTGTATGTGTGTGTGTGTGTGTGTGCGTGTGCGAGATAAAGAGAGAAATAAGGCTGTGTTCTATTGTTTTAATTATCCACTTATTTTCCTCTCCTCTCTTGTCTTTGTGGCTCCTCCCTAAATAAACACTTAACATTGACATAAAATCCGCTACGAAAAGACTTGACAATGTATTGACATAAACGCCAGGTACTGTTTGTCAAAACGCAAGGTCAGCGTAAGGTCATCATCATGGCCCATTAACAAAATACATTCACTTAGTGCTGGTTCTATGACAACCAGTCTGTCCGTCCAAGGACGGAAATATGAGGGTCTGCAGGGGGGGGGGGTAGTGATTACGAATCACGCAAAATTTTCGCCGCCTATTGCGAATTACGTTAAAGTCACAGAGCTTATTACGACTTGACGATTTGCGGCTAATGTCCGATTACGAATTACGTTGATTTTTGCGGAGGCTGCCTACGGATTACGAAGTCTAAAACGGCCTGATTACGCCTTACGAAAAAGTGCTTGCAGACCCTCAAATATTCCTGTGGGGCCAAAAAAAAATCTAAATTCATGATATCAAAAGAAATCTGGGTAAGATTAAATGGGTGGATAGAAATGTTTCTCCAAGCGTCGCTAAATTGTGCCTCAATAACTTCATAGAGCCTCAGAAAGTTCCTAGGGAATCAGTTGGATCTGACTGTCGAGTAGAGGACTTGGCACAAAATGTCACACTGCGATCTGACAATGACTGTAAACACAGATGCCATAAATGTTATTATTGATTACATTCCTGTTTGTTTTAAGCTCTTTTAGTTTCAATTTCTTTGTTAAATATGCATTATGTTGATTATATTATATTGACCTAATACTTAATGAAATGTTAAAATGTACAACCCACGTCCTCACTAAACCCTTATCAAAACTCTTCAACCTATTCATCTCTTCCGGCTATTTCCCCCAGCAATGGTGCACAAGTCACATAGTAGCTATTCACAAGGGCGGTGCCAAAGACGACCCAAACAATTACAGGGGGATTTCTGTCACAAGCTGCCTGGCCAAACTGTTTACAACAATCCTGAACACCCGCCTCATCAACTTCTTAGACGAGCATGCACTTATCTCTCCGAACCAAGCAGGCTTTAGGAAAAACTTTGGGACTAATGATAATCTCTTCGTTATCGATTCTCTAATTTCTAAGTATACTAATAATAACAAACGTCTTTATGCCTGTTTCGTCGACTTTAAAAAAAGCCTTCGATTGTGTATGGCGCGAAGGTCTGCGATACAAACTACTCACCTCGGGAGTAGGCGGCAAATTTTACAGTCTTATAAAATCAATGCATTCTAACCCGCAAACATGCATCAAAACCTCCTCTGGTCTAACACCACCCTTCGTCACGGACAAAGGTGTGAGGCAGGGCTGTAACCTCAGCCCGACCCTATTCAACCTGTTCATAAATGATTTAGTCAAGATGTTAGATAGTCCAGAATGCGTTCCACCCTCCCTACATAATTTATTCATTTCCTGCTTGCTCTATGCAGATGATGTCGTAATTTTCTCGGAAACCGAGAAAGGACTCCAATGTGCTCTTGACAAACTAAACACTTTCTGTACAAAATGGAAACTCCAAGTTAACCTGAAAAAGACCAAAATTGTAATTTTTAACAAAACTGGGCGCATATACAGAAATACAAAATTCCTGCTCGGTTCAGAAAAGATAGAAATTACTACGTCATACTGCTATCTAGGTCTGTTGTTGTCCTCATCCGGCAGTTTCTCACTAGCTAAGAAACAACTTGCTTTAAAAGCTCGCAAAGCTGTTTTTAGCATCAAATCTCTTATCCGCTCTCAAATCTCATTAAAAGCTTTACTAAGGATTTTCGACGTTTGCATCAAATCTATAATGTTATATGGTTGTGAAATCTGGGGAAAAGATTTTTCAAATGACAACTGTCCTATTGAAACTGTCCATAATCGCTTCTGTAAAAACATTCTTGGGGTACACAGAAACGCTAGCAACGGAGCATGCAAAGCAGAGCTCGGTAGACTGTCACTAGACACAGACGTATCTGTACGCCTAGTCAAGTATTGGTTAAGACTGAGGCAACTAGACGCTAATACACATCCCCTACAAGTCGACGCTTTACTATCTCAAAAACATATGTTAATGCTTGGTCACAAGAAAAATGTGCTACACCATGTGAAAGAAATACTTGACCGCAGTGGTTTCTCATATATCTGGCATAACGACAACGTCGATCTCGATAAGCAACACATATGTACATTACTTAGAAGTAGACTCTCTGACATGTATATCCAAACCTTTCTTTACAATCTCTCTGTTGATGTCGGTAAGCTAAGATTTTATAGACATCTGAAACCTGTATACACAATGGAACGTTATCTTCACATCAAAGACTTCGATGTTAGATCAGCCATATGTAAGCTTAGAGTTAGCGCTCATACATTAGAAATAGAAAAGGGTAGATACAAACAATTACCTGTTAACGACAGAATATGTAAATATTGTACAGGAAACGCAGTGGAGGATGAAATGCACTTTATTTGTCATTGCTCTCATTATAGCACCGAAAGAGATCAGTTATTTGAAATGGTCACCAAAATGTTCTCCAGCTTTATTCACCTTCCCAGCCTACAAAAAACTGCATTCCTATTAACACCTCCCAATTTATATATCTCGCAAAACGTCGGCCATTTCATACCCCACTGCAAACGGAAAAGAAATCAAACCCAACAATAACTACAAATGTATATATAAAGTAGCATTAGCATCACTTTTTATCATTCTACTGTTTACTGTTGTTATCATGTTCTTGCAATTAGCCCTCGGGCATGAATTTGCAATAAACTTTCATTATCATATGTTTCTCTTTATATCATTATTCCATCTATATGAAGTTACCTTAAGAGTTGTTAAAATTCATATGTTATTTTTCATTTTCCTCCTGTGTTAGTATAGCTTTAGTGGGCTGGCATTATTTTGTCTGTTTCTTTTGTTTGTTTATTCTGTTGTACCTTTGTATTTGGATCCGTGGTATATGTGTTATCTTTTGTCTTATTGTTGGTTAATTTGTTATTTTGTAAATAAACTATAAAAATTATAAAAAAAACACAGGTGCCGTGTTATGTATTGTATAGTAGAGGCAATTTCTAGTCGTCGTAACAAGTTAACAGCCGTGGGAAGCAGAAGAATATCTAGTAGCGTCACAACATTACACAAAGCAAGACAACACGGAATAGCCCTACTGGTCGAAACTCAATAATTACCTCCATGAAAAATGGAGGTATTGTTTTTGGCGTGTCTGTTTGTCTCTGTGTGTGTGTATGTGTGTGTCTGTGTGTGTTTCCGCAACATTGTAGTCAGCATAACTTCAGAACGCCTTTATGGATTGTGATGATATTTGGTATGATGGTAAGTCTTGGAAAGACAAAGGTCAAGGTCAAGTATGGGCCTCCTGGTGGATGACCTTGGTACTGCAGCAGAACTTCCGGTTTTTGTATCTTTTGTCCTGAACAAGCTATGGTCTTGACTTTTTGGTGACAGATAGCTAATCCTGTCAGAAATAAGTGGCGTAAGTTTGGTCCCGCTAGAAGCTTGTTCTGGAACTGCAGGTTAGTTTCTGGTAAAAACTTTAAAAGCCAATAAGTCCAGATTGGAACAACGTATTCTCATCATTTTTGATATGTGAGACCTGAGAGACAGTTGAACATGATTAAATGCAAATTATGCAAATGGAGATTAATTTGCATAATTAATGAGGACATTTATTAATTACAGTGTTTCATATAATGGTACTGTTATACATGTAATCTATTTAATCATTGGCAGGCGGAACGTCAACAGATACCAATTATGCAATTGATGATCTAATTTGCATGAATAATGTGAAAATTCTGTGAATCCTTATTGGTGAATGATGGGAATTTTATACCTCGTAACATGTGTAAGTTACTTATATGCATATATTATGTTAATGTAGAGGTTATTCGCATAATTAATGAGGACAAAGCAAGCCCATATTTCATGGAGGTATGAGATCTCGGAACTCTTGTTTTCAGTCTGCACCGCGCCAATCGCGATAATCCAACCCAAATTCCCACCATACAAGGCCCTAACAAGGTTCCACAAAGGCTGTTTTTTTTATTCCCAAACATCTAGTCACAAGACGTGGTGACGACACACTCAACTTTTTTCAACTTATGTTAATGCTGTGTTGGTGTCGGCATTAATATAAGTTGAAAAAACTTGAGTGTGTCGTCACAACGTCTTGTGATTAGATGTTTCGGAATTAAAAAAAGGCTGTTACAGATACTCCTACTTCCCTTGGACTGTCTGGGATTGGAAGTGCGCTTCCTTGGGGTGTAACAGAAATCATAGAGCCTGACAACTTTAAGGAAACCGTACTCCTGCATGCACCCAAGGGTAAGAATAAGAACGCAGCGCACTCACTATACTGAGTGCCTTACCCAAACAGAGGGGTGCTGCACAGTATCGTCTCAAGAAACAAGAAAATGTCAACACATTTTTAAGATAGAACCAACCGCCTACAAGGATCTAAGCAGATCGCCCTTTCCGTAACAAGAGCGCTAGATTTAGCAGAATACATATTAAATGATTTTTCCAAAATGCATTAAGTTTGCGTTCGTACGACATTCATTGGTTCACGTCTCACTAGATATCTATATTCTTAATTCGTCAACCACAAGCTAGTGCCTGCAAAGATTATGTGCTTACGCCAAACAATATTCTAGCTGAAAAATACACAGATATAAAGCAAACTCATGTGAAACGTGTATGTACATGTATATTGTCTGTTCCAAAAAAGAGTACCCACCTGTTAACAGATCGGCTATGTCGAGTGTGATAGTTTGACAGGCTTGGCGACTTGAATCACTGCCAAAGACTTTTCTTTCGGACGTTTTACTTGGTGAAACGCACGTACACCAACATTCCTCACGGCCCCCTCCCTACACGAAGAATAGCACAGGGCGATGCCAATTTAAAGTCAACAGGGGGTGGCCAGGGACAGTGAATCATGTAAATATTTGCTATCTGGGTGGGGTATATACACATACGTACGGAATATATTTACCTTCGCCAGGAGGTTATGTTACAGGTACAGATTTTATTACGTCGTGTGGCATTTTACGGCCCTTTCTTGGCAAATGTGCAAATGTTGCACATTGTTTGTGCACATTGGCGGAACAAATCCGTAGTGTGTTTTTGGCACGTAAGGTAGAGTAGCTGAACAGGCTGGGTGGGCGTCACTTCAATGTCAATGAAAGGTGGTACTATAACGTTACCACAATAACGTTACAAAAAATTCATTCCAAAAAATTATTCTCTATTTGTTGTCACATTCAACCCATAGTTATTTAATCAATCTTGAGCATAAAATGACCCAACACCTCAAACACACTGAAAAACAAACTGTTTAACGTCACCGATGCCTTCATGTCCTATGCAAATGAGGTTAGACCCCCTGTTTTCGCGTTGCATTCTGTTATTTTTCCTTAGCTTGTTTTAAGGAGCAGTAGTCTAGGCATAATCAGCTCACATTCAAAACTTTCAACAAGCAGCAAGTACAGACTACCAAAATGTGGCTTTTCTTCACAGTGACAAACTCGGGACGAACCATATTGATAAAACCAGTCCATATATGATTCATAGTCCCATGATAATTACACGATGTCAATGTTCAGTGAAAGTGAATTTTAACTTAGAGGCTTTCTTGGTGTATGGTGAAGTAAGCTTTAAGGCAACGGCCAAATATTTTATCTTCTTCCACTCCAACATTACTAGTATGTAGTAGAAGTGCTCACAAGAGTTTGTACATTTTATGTGAATTTCATGACATTCGGTTGATAAGGCCATGTTGATTTGATTATATGGATGACATCCTTCGGGAGCCTCAAAACTGATGCGCGCGTGCGAATAAAAAAAGGTTTTGCAAAAAAAAAGTTCTTTTCATTATGAAATCTACGTGGTCATGAGGGTTGAGCAAATGGCACAGAATATGGTTTGGCAAATAATGTAGTCTTCAAGTTCATTTCTTTACAATTTCCTCTTTTTTCGTTTGATTTTGGCATTCTACGACATTGGTATAGTTTTTATTAATTTTTTTTGTAACTTATGGTATATTTTTGCTCATTTTGCAACTGTTTTGTACGATTAAAGTATGGTTAAAAACGTTTTTTTGGAAACGGCCGAACATTCATGCGCGCGCGGATGTCATCCATATAATCAAATCAACATGGCCTAACTGCAAAACCTATAGCGTTGAGAATAGACGGGCGACCTCGCCCTTCCAGCGTGGTATGTACGTTGTCGGCACTATAAGAAAATGGTGTGTGAAAATATTCACTGTAAAAGGTTGTATAAAAATGAAGGCCAATGACCGGCAATGGGGCTTCCTATTGAAATGCATGATAAACATGTAAGAAAGAGGGTGTCAAAAGTCACTTACCTAAGTTTTAGTCCATGAAAAACTCACATTGGCTGGGGTGTCTGACCTCTAAGGTGTCAATCTAGAGCAAAATTTCCACAATCTCTACGGTGGAACACGTCCGTACTCAAACCAAAACAAACAGCATGACCTCTGACCCCTCTTAAACACATCCAAACCACACCAAAACACAACATTTCTACAGCCCATGGACACCACAAAAATGGTTAAAAGTCAGATTTTTCAACACAATCAAAAAGGAAAAACCCTTACTGTAACATCCAGCTCCAAAATACGAACACATTCCAGTAAAATAACACTTTTATAGCTACATTTGCCAGCAGTGGCTTCTACGCCTGTGCATTTACCGGACTTTACTTTGCCCTGAATTTAAAGTAAATGACAAAAAATGACATCTGCAGAACAAAGGCTCACTACAATAATACGTCTGATTCGATAGTGCGTATTGTAATGGCGTTTGATTATCGTGTAGTAATCATCACTTTCTTTGTTTCTTTCTTTATATTTTTTTTTCGGTCAACACATTGTATATACAATACGACTTGGTTTAATAATTATCGATCTTATTAAAAGATAGTCATTTATTTGATTCTTTTGCCTGAAACAGTCAAAATGGGTTTTCTCATAAAATTTAGAGGAATACAACCAAACATAAACAAAAAAGTGTCTATGATACCACGGCGGTCGGTCACCACGGCATTATTTCCCATTGCTAGGCGCGTTCCAAAAAGTATCGGGTTACAAGACGCAATTTTGGCCTGTTTTGGACTACCCGTAAAACACTTGAAAATGAACACATAGTATTTAGTGGTAAATTTCGTCGTCAATTTGAAATGAAATTATCGTCTTAACATCCTTTAGATGTTAGCTTTTTATGTTAAATCACTGATTTTTTTTCAAATTTCGCTCAGAAAGACGATTATTTTCGCGTTTACGAGCACAAGTCATGTTATGTTTTTAAGCAAACATCGTTCAAACCTGGCTACCTATATTACCCCAGATCCCCGATCTTTGTATTTTTCGACGACTAGGAATAAGATCGAAAATCGCGTTTTAGTGATTTTTTAATTTCTGATTTTAAGTCTAGTTTTTGTCACCATATTGGTGAAAAAAATTCATTTTTGACATTTTTCTCACTAAATTACCCATAATTCAAAATTGAGGCAATTTTTTAAAAACCCTAAAACAAGATTTTCGGGAGAACCGTGACAGTCATTTTGAGCCGTAAATGGAGTATGTTTTACTCTCCATGTTTCCAGGTTTGAACGAGTTTTGCAGACATGTCATATCGCCCGAAAGTGTGCATTGTGTTATTCATACAAGCGTAAAGAATCATGAAAGTATTCAAGGTCACCCAAGGATACGACAGTAGCTTCGCTACATGTTACATATCCACAAAAATGATAGCAGACATGTACTGTCCAGGAAACTTTTTGTATCTATAAAAAAAAGTGTTGCTTTTTATCTGTTGCGAGGCGCTCAGGCAGAAGGGCTTGTTTTGCCGCTTTATTGTAAATGACCGCATGTGACCCCGAAATGGAACGCGGGTTCAATTCGAATTGCCCAGATCGAACACGATCGACCACAGTTCGGATTCTATGAAATGTGGGAACTTTGCAGCCCAGATTTGAGCACCGTGTACAGTATTAAGGTCTACTGAGACATGTGTTGCCCCTGGCAACAGCGCTGACTTTATAAAATACTGCAGAACAGTGCGTTCTTTAGATATAGAACCCCCCCTCCCATGGGCAGACAAGTGATAGACACACAAGACATTGCAACGATCTGGACACAATCAGAACTGGAACCGAAAGATTTCGAAACAGTAGCATACCTTACATCGTAAGACTACTGAACAAAAACGACGACTTGTTAAGACATGGTATACGTTTGACCACGATGGTAGCTAGCCTATTGTAAATACATAGATTATTGTTGTTTTTAACTGGTTTTAGCATTTGCTTTTAATATCCTTTCAAACCATTTTCAATAACCTGTGAAATGTGGGAGATCAATTCAGGGTCCTACTGGGACTCTGCTGCTCTGTACCGTACAGTCTGAAAAAAATAAACCATCATTATCATAATTATTATAAAATGATGCTATGTATATCAAAGCTACCCGCCATATTGAATCATCAATCTTGAATGTTTATAAGAGCGTTTTATGTAAAAAAAAATGGGGGGGGGGCGAAAGTGATAAACTTGCTACAGCAAAGCTAATGATATGGTCCGCCTTTTTTGGCTTTTACCAACGGCGTCATCAAATTAGCATGAATTATAGATATTAAATGATAGAAATTACATAGATGAGATGTTTTAACGGTAGATAGGGCGTGAAGTTAAACCTTAAAAACCTTCATTTTTCATGTTTAACCACGAGAGACTCCAGAATTGCTAAATTTTCAAAAGACTGTCACAAACCCATTGTCATGTCAACAGAAATATTGATATGAAATTGTTTTAAAATCCTTGCAAACCATTTTCAATACTAGTAACCTGTGAAATGCGGGAGATCAATTCAGGGTCCAGCCTGAAAACACAATGCAGATGGACTGAAGATGTTCATAAGAGCGTTTTATGTAAAAAATGGGGGTGAAAAACGTGCTACAGCAAAGCTAATGATATGGTCCGCCTTTTTTGGCTTTTACCAACGGCGTCATCAAATGAGCATGAATTATAGATATCAAATGATAGAAATTACATAGATGAGATGTTTTAACGGTAGATAGGGCGTGAAGTTAAACCTTAAAAACCTCTTTTTTTCATTTTAACCACGAGAGAATTTAGAATTGCTAAATTGACATGAAACTGTTGCCCCCCCCCCTAGTCTAAATAGGGTTAACTCTGTACGGGGTGATTGTCTATTGTGTGGTGGAAGTGGTGAGTTCTGTGCTGTTGTTGTTTTTTTTTTTAATGTAGGTACTTTGAAGACATTGGGAGTGATCACGGAAGACAATTTTGATTCCATGATCATAGCAACTTTTCCCATCATTTTTTTATTCAATAAAATAAAATAAGTGTCGCCTAAACTGTGTAAACCGATTTTACTGTGTTAACTTATGACGCGCTTCCACGTGCAGTAGGTCGGGGGAAATTATAAATCTTATGACACAATTTAATGTTGACACTTTTATACAGTATTTTTGTGTCCTAAAACGCCGAATATCCGCAATCCTACACGGTTATATATTTGCACTGTTAATAAAGAGTGTATGTCCTCCAAGGCCTAGGTTATAGCAAATGCAGAAAAGCAAAACTTTCTTTGCCTCTGGGTACCAATTTTTGTTATTGTCGTACTAGGGCTTTAACTACTATAGACAGTATATTTCAGATGGTGTATATTATAATGTGTATGCCAATAAAACATGATTAATTGCAATGTATTCAGTAAACCTTTCCACTGGCCCCAGCCTCAGCTGGCGTGGCAACAATACTCTTTGAATAACAACACAGAAGCAAAAAGTTTAACCAGTCACCAGTTTTATTATCATTCATATTCAAACACTCACAGTTCCATTGCTTTCTACGATGTAACGTTACCTAGTGTACACGTACATGTCCGGAAATTGATGAAAAATGTTGCTGATAATCCTCACTACAATTCCTTCCTAGGGTTGTTTAAAAATAAGATCGATGAATCGATGGTGAATTTTGTGATATTTGAGAAATTTAAAAGAAATAATGATGGTAAGAATAACAAGATCAAAACCTAATCACCATTCCACCTTGTTGTTAAGTATTACTACTGCAATTAGAAAACATTTAAGATGTAAATTTCAGCTGAAAAACAACCAGAGCTGTCCCAATCAATATTGCCCTAAGCAAGTTACTACATAGGTTATTGAAACGTAGGCAGGTACATTCCTTTGTATTAGTGAATTTAAGAACTTAATCACCCATGTCTAAGGTAGGTACATTCCTTTGTATTAGTGAATCGAAGAACCTAATCACCCATGTCTAATTAAACTATTGAAAGTCTTCTGCCTCAGTCGCCTGGTCCTGAGCTTCCTGCAGTTCTGTAAGAAAAAGAGAAAATGAACAGGAGACGTTAGAAACACTAAGAACGACCCAAGTAGGACTGGAAAATCAGTCAAAAACAATTAGAGATCTGACCTTTTGACTGTCAAAAAACGTTACTTCTTAGTTAGGCCACACCGACTAATTTTTATGGATCACATCCTCTGAAGACCCCCAAACTAGTGCGCGCGGGCAAAAAAAGAGAGAAAAATCCGGCCAAAAATAAATGTCCTACTAAGCCACGGGAATACAAAGACTGTACTGTGAATTTGGCGCATAAAAAAGCGACGTATATGACAGACCCGCCCATGCTGGATTTTTGCGTTACGTATGTACTGAGTTCTTAAGTCGTGGAGTTTCGGTAGCTTGGGTGCCGTCCTCCGACTTCGTTGTCACTAACCACCATGGACTACCCAGGCCTACAGCCAGGCCAGAGCCTCGGAAGACGTGATCTTTTTTTATTATTTTTGGGGATCAGGCGAAAATCAATGCGCGCGTGGATGTCATTCATAAAATTAAGTCGGTGTGGCCTTATAGAGCTATATATGTGGGATTAAGCCAACTCAGACGTACCATTTGCCGTGACTTGCACCAGGCGGAGGCGCTGGAGTCCCACTTCAGGCTAAGAACGCCTCCTCCTGCAGTTCTGTCAGGACAAGAGAAACAGGAGACGTTAGAAAAACACGAAATCAACATGACACATATAAAATTGACGGCAATCTACGAGAGTGAAATTTAGTGTTATATTTCAGCTAAAAACCTCTACAAACTAATTGCAAACAAACAAACAAAAACACGTCAAAGAAACCGCAGTCGTGGCGCCCAGAATCAGTAATATCCTAGGAGCTAGAACTCGCATGAACTGGAAGTAGCTATTGGCATTAAATGATACGATGATATCAGCAAATGTACTCTAGTGTATTGTTTTAGACTAAATTTATTGTCTATGTCTAATATCAAATTTAGTTATACGTTTGAATTTAACTGTGTCCCACGTGTATTGTACCGCTGTATGATTAGAGGTTCAGTGGGGAGACACAGCTGAAATGTACCTTCTTCCTCAGCCTCCAGGTCCTCTACTTCGTTCCGCTTTCCGGCCGCCATACACCCATGATGGCACGATTGGAAGTCTGGGCCTGGGCGTTTGCCAAAGCATTGTTGATGGCAATCTCTAGCACGTGATCGCTTCTCCATCCCCACCTCTGCCACTGCAAGAGAAAAAAAACGGGCTATTTTACAAAACGCTGAGATCAGCACAAGACAAACACGGGTAATACATGTATTTATATTAGTGTCAAAAGTCAAACTACGACGTACAGAAATATAAGGGATTGAGTTACGTTTCATTTAGATTAAGGATTTAGCCACGAGTACACAGAGGGAAGAAAACAGGGACGGTAAAAATGTTAAATCAACCCGACACGACACATATAAAACTGACGGCAATCTATGAGAGTGAAATTTAGTGTTAAATAGATAAACAAACAAACAAACGTGTATTGTACCGCTGTATGACTAGAGGTTTAGTGGGGAGGCACGGCTGAAACGTACCTTCTTCCTCTGCCGAAAAGTCCTCCACTTCGTCCCGCTTCCCGTGGTATAACGCCACCCTGTTGCAGTTGCTGACGCACCTTTGATGATCCGGTGGGATAAGCCTCCTGTTAGTACAATCTCGAATACATTTGTCTCGCACTTGGTTTCGCTTCTCCATTCCCAGCTCTGTCACTACAAGAAAATATCAAAAAAGTCGATTTAAGCAACATTGAGCTCAATCCGAGACAGACACGGGTACTGAATCCATGTGTCAAAAGTAAGTCAACGACGTACATCATGCCCGTAGCCAGGATTTTGAATGGGGGGGGGGTCTTCCCACTGCTTGAGGGGACCTCGAGTGCCGTAGGCGCGAGGTTCCTAGGGGGTCCGGGGCATGCTCCCCCGGGAAATTTGAAAAATGAACCTTCTAAAATGGCATTTCGTGCATTTTTGAGAGGATTTCCAAGAAAACATCAAAGATAAAATTTTATTCGATGACAAAGGGAGCAGTTTTTCTACGATTCCAGTTCATCTTTTTAAGAAAAATCTCGGACCTTTACATTAAAAGTGGCAAAAAAAGTGGACCTTTGAGCCTTNTGGGGGGTCTAACAACCCGACCCCCCCCCCCTCGGATACGGGCATGCGTGCATGTAATATTTGGGAGCGTGCAGCGTTACATTTATAAAACGTACCTTCTTCCTCTGCCGCAAAGTCCTCCACTTCTTCCCGCTTCCCGTGGTATAACGCCACCCTGTTGCAGTTGCTGACGCACCTTTGATGATCCGGTGGGATAAGCCTCCTGTTAGTACAATCTCGAATACATTTGTCTCGCACTTGGTTTCGCTTCTCCATTCCCAGCTCTGTCACTACAAGAAAATATCAAAAAAGTCGATTTCAGAAACATTTAGCTCAACCCGAGACAGACACGGGTACTGAATCCATGTGTCAAAAGTAAGTCAACGACGTACATCATGCCCGTAGCCAGGATTTTGAATGGGGGGGGGTCTTCCCACTGCTTGAGGGGACCTCGAGCGCCGTAGGCGCGAGGTTCCTAGGGGGTCCGGGGGCATGCTCCCCCGGAAAATGTTTAACAATGAACTTTTTAAAATGGCATTTCGTGCATTTTTGAGAGGATTCCCATGAAAAAATCAGAGATAAATGGTCAGATAAATTTTTATTCCATGACAAGGGGAGCAGTTTTTCTACGAATCCAGTTCATCTTTTAATGCAAAATCTTGGACATTTACATTAAAAGTGGACCAAAAAGTGGACCTTTGAGCCTTGTGTGTGTGTTTGTGTGGGGGANTTAAAAAAATGAACCCTCTAAAATGGCATTTCGTGCATTTTTGAGAGGATTTCCAAGAAAACATCAAAGATAAAATTTTATTCGCTGACAAATGGGGGGCAGTTTT